TATATATATATATATATATATATATATATATATATATATATATATATATATATATATATATATATATATATATTATATATATATATATATATATATATATAGACACACACACATATATATCTATATATATATATATGTGTGTGTGTGTGTCTATATATATATATATATATATATATATATATATATATTATATATATATATATATATATATATATATATATATATATATATATATATATATATATATATATATATATATATATATATATATATATATATATATATATATATATATATTAATATATATATATATATATATATATAGATAGATAGATAGATAGATAGATAGATAGATAGATAGATAGATAGATAGATAGATAGATAGATAGATATAGATATATAGATATAGATATATAGATAGATAGATAGATAGATAGATAGATAGATAGATAGATAGATATATTAGTTTAATTAAATGATGGGCTTTGGAATAAATAATTACCTTATAGAATTATGACTAAAAATAGTCTTCTTAATAAAGACTTCATCCTCTTTTTTAACCAATTTTGATAATAGCTTACGGAAAACAAAACAAAAAACTCTTCCCACTCTATTATTGTTCACGAAGGCAATGAAATCCAGAACAAAGAAAAAGCACGAGAGCGTTCTTTCACGTCGTTCTACACAGATTTTGCCTGTTCTTGAGATATACATATTTTTCTTATTACTCCCCATTTTCCTGATTCCTTTTCTTCTGCTTTTTCTCTTTTTCTTCCTTCTGCCTCTCCTTCATCTTCTTCTTGGTCTCTTCCCCCTCCTTCTTCTTCTACATCCCTACTTTTTCTAAATCGTCATCTTCTTCTTGCTGTTGTTTTTTCCCCTCCTCCTCCACCTTCTTCCATATCCCCTACTTTTACTATATCACCTTCTCTTTCTTCTTCATCTCCTTCTTGCTGTTGTTCTTCTCCTCCTCCTCCACCTGCTTCTATGTCCCCTACTTTTTCTATATCAGCTTCCCTTTCTTCTTCATCTCCTTCTTGCTGTTGTTCTTCTCCTCCTCCTCCACCTGCTTCTATGTCCCCTACTTTTTCTATATCATCTTCAATTTTGGCTACGAGAGAACACCGAGATAGCATACATGCCTAGGGAGATTATTTTGCATATCGGCATATTGAAGAGACGCTCAAGAAAGCTGCCAGATTTAAAGCTCTAACATTCCCGTAACATTGGAACAAATAGGTCGCACGCGCTGTATCAGCAGAATAAAGTCGCGTCATATATAGTTATATATGGATACGATAACATAGCTCATATATCATTGTTTCTTTCATCTAACGAATATGCTCTGCCGTACATAGACAGTTGCGTTAGGATGTGATGATAATAATGGACCTCATCTGTCATTTGTTGCTCATCTAACATCTGTTCTTGCCATTAGATGTATGTATGGAGAACTTATCTTTCACGAACTACCATTGTTTCGTACACCGAACTTTGATTCTAAATTCATGTTGACAAATGCAGATCAGCTATGAACAAGAATGAATATCTTCACAATGCAAGACATGTATTTGATGTATTATTGACGAAGATATATTCGAAACCGGTCAAATACACATTTTGTATTGTGAAAATATTCATGCTTATTCATACCTTTTCTACATTTAATTCTTGATTCTTGCGAAACCCAGAAAATGTAGAATCTTCACGGATATCTGGCAATAACGGCACAGATGGTTTTCTTTCTAGTAGTAACACCATTCAGTATTTTAGGATGAGTGAATAATTATATTCCACTAGCGAAAATGATTTCTTCTCTGCACCCCAAAGATGCGTCTGGAATCGGCTCAACGACTGCAAAATGGAATTTTCCTCTCATTTCAATAATTTTCCAATTTTCTATTCATTTTCTCTTTTCTCTCTCTATCTATCCATGTATCTATCTCTCTCTTTCCTCTCTCTCTCTCTCTCTCTCTCTCTCTCTCTCTCTCTCTCTCTCTCTCTCTCTCTCTCTCTCTCTCTCTCTCTCTCTCTCTCTCTCTCTCTCTCTCTCTCTCTCTCTCTTCTCGTTCTCTCTCACTCACTCTTTCTTACGAGTGGGCGAGAAGATTGATTTTCGAGTTACTTAGTTCCTCTCAGTTCGCCTAATCCTTCCTACAATCAGCAAACATGAATTTGATTCCTACGTTTACTGATCATTATTCATTCATATTCTATTTATATTCATTTGATTGCCCTTGATTATCTATGATGGATGATGACATAGCCATGACATACTTCCACTGCATGTGACGAGAGATATGTCAAGGGCAACGGAAAACTTCGGCTTGATGAACGTACCTGCACTCTTTTATACATTTGTTAAATGGTTGTATAAAAGAGGGTCGTTCAAACTACATAGAAACAGACACACATACACGCGCGCGCGCGCACATCCATAAAAAGAGAGAAAAAAGAAAACCAGAACCGCAGAAAAAAAAAAATGAAAACGTAGAAACTCAAAACAATTGGATATCATTCCGACCAAAACCATTCTCTGTGTTCGTTCGTTTGTTTGTTTGTTTTCGAATTCAGACTCAAGTATTCCTATCGTACTTATACATTTTTTTCTTTTAGGGATCATATTAAAAGTTCTAGAATTCAAAACAGAGCGATTCACACAAACACACACACACACACACACACACACACGCACACACATATATATATATATATATATCTTTTGTCTGGATAAGAGTTCTTGATGTATCGAGGTCCAGCAAATGCAAAAACTTCCACACTTCACATTAATTGGGACAAAATTAAAAGTGTGGATCCGCGACGCACTCGACCGGAAAGAAAATGAAATTTAAATAGGAACAGACGATGAGAAAAAAAATAGATAAAGAGAAAAGAGGAAACTGTCTTAGGAGAAATAGTTGGACCGACGCTGTGGAAACAACGAAAACCAAAAGAGTAGCGCAATCTCGGCGAGAAATTAATGAACAAAGATAGATGGTTAATGGCGTCAGATCCGAGAGCCAACGATATTAGAGGAAGAAGAAAAAAAGGGTTTCCAAGATGTGTCTGACAAGCGCCCTACAGTTAAGACACGATCTATCTCGTTCCTAGTTTCTCATAACTTCAGCGGCCGATGGGGGAGGGGGAGGGGGGGAGGGGGGGGAGGGGATGAAAGGAGAAGGGGGTTATAAAGGAGGGAAGGGGGAGGGGGGGAGGGGGAGAGGGGATGCAAGGAGAAGGGGGTTATAAAGGAGGGAAGGGGAGGGGGGAGGGGGAGAGGGGATGCAAGGAGAAGGGGGTTATAAAGGAGGGAAGGGGGAGGGGGGATGCAAGGAGAAGGGGGTTATAAAGGAGGGAAGGGGGAGGGGGGAGGGAGAGGGGATGCAAGGAGAAGGGGGTTATAAGGAGGGAAGGGGGAGGGGAGGGGGAGAGGGGAGCAAGGAGAAGGGGGTTAAAAGGAGGGAAGGGGGAGGGGGGAGGGGGAGAGGGGATGCAAGGAGAGGGGGTTATAAAGGAGGGAAGGGGGAGGGGGAGGGGGAGAGGGGATGCAAGGAGAAGGGGGTTATAAGGGAGGGAAGGGGGAGGAGGAGAGGGAGAGGGGATGCAAGGAGAAAGGGGTTATAAGGGAAGGGAATGGGAGGGTGGGAGGGGGTAGAGGGATGCAAGGAGAAGGGGGTTATAAAGGAGGGGAGGGGGAGGGGGAGAGGGGGGAGAGGGGATGTAAGGAGAAGGGGGTTATAAGGGAGGGGAAAGGGGGGGGGGAGGAGGAGGGGGAGAGGGGAAGGGTGCAAGGAGAAGGGAGTTATAAGGGAGGGGAGGGTAACCCACTCGCTACGACGCTCGCAAACCCACCAGATGAAGCTCAAACTTTGAATAAGCCGATGACGAAACTTTGGCATTCTCATTAATAAAATCAGTATTGATCTATCAGGGAAAAAGTCCAGCTTATTGCGGTGTATTCAACATACGGCTGTCGGTGGTACGAGCACAAAAAGCATTATGTTTTGATGAACATAAACAGTTCCAGTAGGCTAATTATGCCAGTCATTGTGACCCATTAACCGAATTCCCCAGAGACGTTTCTCTCCCTGATCACTCGGCCCCAAAATGCCCTGTGACAAACAACGCATTAATGATAATCGCAAATGTCATTATGATTTTAACATCGTTCGTATAAACTTTGTTCACGCACAGTGTTTTTAATTAATCAATTCTAATTGGAAAAATACCTCAATTGTTGGTATTGGTCAATGATGCCCATTGTCATTACTGTCATCAAAGAAGTTTCTGAATTTAAGAATTCAATAAAAGGTAATTATATATATATATATAAAAAGAATCGTCCGAATGCATCAAAGTTTGCTACTAAAGAGAAAAGGAAATGATCTCTAAATTTCCAAGGCAATCGGATGCCGCTGTAATATTAAAAGATTTCCAAGAAACTTTAATCGCGAAGGTCCGCAGCAACAGAACCGGAGGCTGACTTACGACGCCGACGAATCTGCGGCGCAAGAGGAAATCGAGAGCTTTCCCTCGACGTCACCGTGTCTTGAGCGGATAATATGATTAAAGTAAGAAAGTCTCTTTTCCTCCGCTTCGCCCGTGACACCGCGGAGGAAAAAGATTTGTGTCGCAGCGTTTGAGACACAAATATCGCTTCATGGCAGTGGCGTAAGAAAGGATTGGTGAATTATTTAATGCCTTAATGAACGGAAATCACGGATGAAACGAGGACCTCCGTTCCTTCAGAGATCTTATTTCATCTAGCGAACATTCTCCCTTAACTGGCAGAGACCATTTTCTTTGAAAGATTAAATCTGGAACGGATTAGTTAATGGCTCTCAATAATGTGATCGTCTACGTCCCAGAGACGGAAACCACAGTTTTCTGGATAACCTTAAAACTTTTTCTTTTTTCTCTTTTATTCTACAAATAAGTCCCTAAATCACGTAAAATGTGAAAAGGTAGGGAGAGAAATAACTAGAGAGAGGAGTACTTACGCGCTTCCTGGCGAGGCGTTGTCCAAGGCGGTTGTGGCAGGAGACGAGACAGTCCCAGATGGAGGGCGGAGGCTGACGGGCGCGGACGACGTCGGAAGAGATGTCGATCCCGCCCAGGCCAGGCTCCGCGTCCGGTGTGTCAGGCAGCAAAGCGCTGGATGACAGCTGGTGCGGCGGCATGCTGTGGGTGACAGACACGGCGATTCAATGACCCGTCTGATGACATGACGGATTGCTGAGACATCCAGGGAAACGGCTGCCCGGCTCGCCTTTGCCGCCGGCCAGGGGCCTCGGTGGGGCCGGGAAGGGCGGTGATGAGAAGGGTGGGGGTGAGAAGGGAAGGGTGACAAGGGTGGGGGCGAAAAGGAGGGAGATGAGAAGGGCGGGGGCAAGATTGGGGAGCATTGCTTTTGCTTCATGTGATGGTGGAAGAAGGGGAGTGTGGCAGCATGGGAGCGCCACGCTTATTAAACAAGCAAATGAATAAGCATCTCACCTTGCGAGGTCAATATATTGCAATTCATACATATATAGATGCATTTGGCATTACTGACACACAAGGATTACCGTCATACTCCCCGTTGCCGCAGCATCACTGCGATTTCCCTACCCGCTTCCCCAGCCGTTTCGATGCACGTCTTATCTGCGTATCTACCACCGCACGCAGGAAGCACTTAAACAAGGTAATGGAGCGTGGCCGACCCTGTCTTCCCGGCCGGCATTTGGATGCGAGTGAACGGAGCTTTTCCTCTTCCAATCGCTCCTCTTGTTTACAGTCGCGGGAATAAGAGCGGTGGGCGGCGGGATGTGGGGGTGGAGTGGGGTTGCGTTTGTCTTCTAAGGAGAGGCAGGTCATGGGGGCGGCTGCAGCGCCACGTTAACAAAGGCTGACGTTGATATTCTAAAATTGTCAATAAAATGGTCATCATACCGACAGTGATGACATCTATGTTTTATATATATATATATATATATATATATATATATATATATATATATATATATATATATATATATATATATATACACTGCAGAATACAACTGAATAATAGCTTATTTTCTTTATCAGAATCGCCGACAAAAGCACAGCAGGCGAGTTCGTTCCCAGCGAATCCTCCGCTGGCCTCGCGTTCCATCCGAAGTTCTGGCATCAGCGCTTGAAGGTTACCCGAGCGGCAGCCTCTATCCTCTTTATTCTTTGGTAGGATGATGCTTGGGCTATCTTCTGGATGCAGTTAAGATGATCACGTTTGTTCTTTCGATTTTTTTCGCGTGTGATTTGAAGTAAGTTAGGATTCGAAGTCATGGTCAGAACTTCAATGACAAAGAAAAGAACCCATACTGGCTGTCTGGTCTGTCACAATTGAATATACATTATACCACTTTCATTAAAATCCCCGCATTAGAAAACAAAGAGAGGAACCATCGAATATACGATCTCCTTTTTTTTATATCATCTCCCAGAAGTATCGTGTGGAAGGGCCGAGTGTTGACCTCTGAACTTCGCGAGGCGCTGCCGTGTCGACACAGCAGCCTCCGTCTCGTCTGATTAATATGAGGGATATTTCCACGACCAAACAGGAGCCATCCTCACTCTCGAAGCCAGTGAGGAGAGCCATGCGGACCTCACCCTTGCTGAGGGACGCGGAGACGGACACACTGGAACAAGAGAGGGAGAAAGAGAGAGGGAGGGAAGGGGAGAGAGAGAGAGAGAGAGAGGGGGGAGGAAGACAGAGAGGGGAGAGGGAAAGAGAGACAGGGAGAAAGAGAGGGATAGAGAGAGAGAGTGAGAGAGAAAGAGAAAGGGGGGAATGTGAGAGAGAGAGAGAGCGGGGTGGGTGGGTGGGGGAGATGGAGGAAGTGTATGTGTGTGTGTGTGTGTGAGAGAGAGAGAGAGAGGAGGAAGTGTGTGTGTGTGTGTGTGTGTGTATGTGAGAGAGAGAGAGAGAGAGAGAGAGAGAGAGAGAGAGAGAGAGAGAGAGAGAGAGAGAGAGAGAGAGAGAGAGAGAGAGAGAGAGAGAGAGAGAGAGAAGCTGAGAGAACGCCCATATGCCTTTAAAAAGAGTAGTTTAGTATGAAGGTTTAAATCAACCTTTTACTTCACGCTCTTAAAATATTCTTTACTGCGAAGGTGCCTCTGAGGAATGAAAGGAATATCCACGAGGGGCATGAAGCTAATATCCTCACGTCATAATCACGGGACATGATGTCAATATTGTTACTTTACATTAACGGAGGAGATAACGTCACGCTGCTTGTATAACGTCACTCGCGTCACGCCAGAGGGAGACATATCCCTCATACGAGTGCAAGTTTCGTCAGGGGAGGCTGCATCGCCTTCAACACGGTGCAGTCACAAGCAATTTGTCCTCGGCCTTCTTCTCGAGCAGCNGGAGGTTGAGAGGGAAGGATGAGAAGAAAAGGAAAGGAAGGGGGAAGGGGAGGGGAGGGAGAGAAAGAAAATAGAGGAGGAGAGAGGAGAAGACGAAGGACAGGGAATGGAAGGGAGAGAGAATAGGGAGGAGGAATTAAAGGAGAGGAGAGAAGAAGAGAGGAGAGGGAGAGGGAGATAGAGAGAGAAAGAAGAGCGAAAGTCAAAGATAGAGACAAGAAAATTAAAAACATAGAGAAAATAGAGACATAGAGAGGGAGAAGGAAGGGAAGGAGAGGGAAGAAAGGGAGAAAAATGAGATGGAAAAGGAAGGGATGGAGAGGGAAGATAGGGAGAAAGAAGAGAGAGAGAAGGAAGAGAGGGAAAAGGAAGGGAGGGAGAAGGAAGAGAGGGAGAAAGAAGAGATGGAAAAGGAAGAGGATAAAGGGAGAGAGGAAGAAGGAAAAGAGGGAACTGGAAGAGGATAGAGGGAGAAGGAAGAGAGAGAGAGGGAAGAAGGAAGAGAGGGAGAAGGAAGAAAGGGAGAAGGAAGGGAGGGAGAAGGAAGAGAGGGAGAAGGAAGGGAGGGAGAAGGAAGAGAGGGAAGAAGGAAGGGAGGGTGAAGGAAGGGAGGGAGAAAGAAGAGAGGAAGAAGGGTGGGAGGATAGAGGGAGAGAGGAAGGAAGGGAAAAGGAAGAGAGGGAGAAGGAAGAAAGGGAGAAGGAAGGGAGGGAGAAGGAAGAGAGGGAAAAGGAAGGGAGGGTGAAGGAAGGGAGGGAGAAGGAAGAGAGGAAGAAGGGTGGGAGGATAGAAGGAGAAGGGGAAGAGGTGAAAGGGGAGGGAGAGAGAGGGATGTAGGCGGGAGGTAGGAAAGTTAGAGGGAGTAGAAGAGGCGGAAGAAAAGGGAGAGAGAGAGAAGGAGAAAGGAGAGATGGTGTGGGAATTGTTTGGAATTTTTATTCTCCTCTTCCTTCCCCTCTTTCTTTTACTTCTTCTTCCTTCTCCTCCTCCTTCTCCATCTCCCCCCCTCCTCTTTATTCCCTTCCCCTCTTTCGTTTTCTTCTTCTTCCTTCTCCACCTTCTCCTCCTCCTCCTCTGCTTTTTCCTCTTTTCTATTCTCTCTCTCTCTCTCTCTCTAGCTATCTATCTATCTCTCCCTCTCTCTTTCTCTCTCTTTCCCTCTCCTTCTCCCCCCCCACTCCCTCTACCTCTACCTCCTTCCCCTCTTTCTCTCTCTCTCACTCCCTCTACCTCTCCATCCTTCCCCTCTCTCTCCCTCCTCCCTCTCACCCCCTCTCCCTCTCTCCCTCACCCCC